ATTGGGTCCAGAGGTTAGCTATCTATAGTATTTGAGAAGAAGATTCACCCTGGTTTGTGGGCTTTTATGGTTCTTAACCTTCCCGCCTGTCATTCTCGAACTTGCTTCGTACAATGAGAGTGCAAAAAGCGTTGCTTTGAGTTTCTATAGCCAGGAATTGGCTGCTTAGAATGAGGAATATCATATTTCATGTGAAGATTATGAAATTATCTTTTCTGTACTATAAACCCAATGAAATGAGCTCATTTGGACACTGTTTTTAGTTTTACAGCTCTATGTCTGAGACAATGTCAAACTATTGTTACCATATAATTCTATTTTTAGTATATGAAAATATTCTACTTGACTTTCTTCAAATGTAGTCATACATTCCTGGAAAATTAACCGGATGTAAGCTTGAAATCTCCCTTTTCTTGCTTCGAAGCAACCGTCAAAACATGTCAGTGGTCGCTTGCTTTCTGAAAGCTTCAATCTAAACTCTTCTAAGTTCCTTTTCTTTTTGTTCTATTTATTTAAAAAAAGCTCGTTGCATTATTTAGATGCAATCGGCATTTACTCGCCCTATGATTTCAATTTTCCAATTGTCTTCAATCACGTCCTCTTCGATCTTTCATTGTAAAATTTCTAGTATCCGAATGTATCACCAAAGGTGCATCTTCTTTACCCTCGAGGACTTTCTGAAGAATCACATCAACAACTCATTGACGATGTGCAACAACGCCTTAGTGATAATGTTGGAATGCCTATTATTTTCGATATACTCCAGGTAGGATAACAGTATATAAGATTCTCTTGACTAAATATGTTCTTCAGTACTGTGCTGACTTCATTTTGGAGCACCAACATTCATCGTCGCTGCTCTGTCCCATCTGCCTCTGCCCTATGACGGCTGCGAGTGTCTCGGTGACTCCTTGTGATCATTACGCCCATACTGTTTGCTTCGATAAACATACCGAATATACGCGAAAGCAACTGGGTGAAAAGTTGATGGCCAGAGACTTTAAGATGTGTGACGATATTGATCGAGTATGTTGCTGTCTACC